AATAAACTATTTATAATTTCAAGATTTATTTATCAAGTCTATTTATTAGATGGCGTGAGCTCCTGTCGCCGTGGCAACTGTCAGTGTCACAACCACTGTAATGCACTACACCTGCACTGTCGGCCACTGTGCAAAAGCAGTGAAACTTTGACCGAGATCACGACTAAACGTTATTTTTTCATCGAGAAAACAGATAGTGTATTTACGTTTGTAGGTAAAAGTTACACAAAGGACGAGATGTATCATTTCAAAGATACTATGTCGCTGTATTGCCAAATTTTGATGCGTTAAATGTGCCATATCAAAGTGTTAAAATCAAAGTGGACAAATAAAATATTATAAAAATCAGGCAGGGATGAAATGTAAAGATGCTGTAGTTGCAAAGTAGATGTTAAAAAAGATTGAACAGACTATAGTCAGTTTATAGGCTCCAGTCTTATTAAACAGAGGACAGTGGATTCTGTAGCTAGAAAAGCTTGCTCTGTCCACAAGGCTAAACTCTATGCAGTAGAGATTTTTTTACTGAACCTCTAGATTGGCTACAGATTTGAGTCGCACTGATGTGAGCAAATCATGGTTAGGATTAAAACAAAATATATTTATGAGAGTAGAACAAAAGTGCATCGCAGACGGATCGTGCAATAGTTGAAATCTGGACCCATGTGACCATGTTATTTTTTTACACATCTATTTTGTATATGTAGATTTGGTATTGCTTTTAAAATTCCAGAATCATTTCACATTGACCAAGGACAAGTAACTGTCACTTTACTTTACTTTTTTCTTAAAGAAACTGTTGTTGGTCATTTTGCACTTGTAGTAGAACTATAAATATAAAGAAATACATACATATATATATATATAGCTATATATAGTACATACAGTATAGTAAAGAAAAGTATTCGTTTTTAGAACTATTTAAAACCGTATTAAATGTTTTCAGTGTTGCTTGAATGTCGGATTGTATGTTGTGAATGCTGCTAGTATCAATATCAATTTATTTGTTTTGTAAATAGAGACGACTAATGAGACAGAAACAAGGGTATATGGACATACATATCAGCGGCAGTGGTCGGTGGCTGTCTACTCAGACCAAGGTGTTCCTGTAAACGCAAGGCTCGTGATCTGTGGACAGGGTTAGCTTTGTGTTTTATTAGAAAACTGTACTGAAAACCACGATGCAATATTACAAATCGAGGGAAAGCCCTTTGAACTTTTGTCGTCTTTTTCAAAAGAAAATTATTTTTCCCTTAATCCCATCCGTGGAGGTAACTGATTTTAAGGCGACGCATTAAGTTACATGAAGAGAAAATGTGTTTTAGAAGTGTTTTCACACTAATAAAAAGCTGTCCACTCCGTGTTTCCTAAGAATATTTGGTGCCAAGTCTTTAAATTTTCACCTTTCTGAGCCCTTCAGCTTAACTTTGACATGAGGGGCCCTGTGATATTTCTATTTTAAGAGAAACACTCCTGTTCTTGGACGGTCTCCACGCAACATTGCCTGCATCAACTGAGCCTTTTCGAACCCATTGGAAAGAAAATTACATATATATATATGATGTTTATTGGAAATTGATTCATTTATTGGAATTATAAATGTTTTATATTTGCTGTTTGCATGGTGCCGTGTGGCAGTATTTATTTTAGTGGTTTCTCTAGTGACGACTTTAATTTACGTCCGAGTTACAGAAGGAGAGGGAGGGGGGCGTGAATCGTTCTAACGGAAGATTCCCGAACACGTTAGTATCCGTAAAACGCGTGATGCGACGCGTTTCCACCGTGACAACAGGAATTTTATATAGTATAATTTTACCACGTTGTTACTTGTTACGTTTCTATCTTATTCAAGTAGTCTTACGTACCGTTGAAAGACTTCGGCGTTTTACATATGAATGGGCCACTAGAGCGGACATTTCACCTTTGTACATATCTGTTACCGCAGTCAGAGACACTGTAACCTGCTGTCCTCGTCTTTTGTTGTACACTGTTCTATCACTGTGGACAAAGTCTTGAAGTTTTGTAAGATGACGTGCAATATTCTTCCCACTACTGTTACTCTTTTCGTTTGGCCACACCTTTACATTTATTTATTTATTCATAATTTACTGCAGGTGTCAACAGTGTTTACAGTTTTTCATTAGAATGTCTGTCAAAGGGTCTAATGGACCATAAAGATCCCAGGTGTCCCAACCGGAAACCGACTGAGACAGAGACAGAAAAGCACTTTACCGTGATGGGGCGCTCTTCTGTGGCAGCTTCAGTCTGCAGACTGTGCGGGAGCGTTGCACTCATTCTCCCACAGTGACCTCTTGTGGCACATGTGTGTATTACAGCCAGCTGTGCAGGTCTGATTACTCGGACTGTAAAGAAAAAAATATGAGGATATCATTGTCAAGTCTGCTGCGGTTTTGAACTGCAGTGACGTAAAAATGCTACCTGCTGATTATTGTTTACGTCATTCATCATTTCCGTTCACATTTTTTCGCATGCACTACATTCTTTCCTTTGTAATCTTGCCAAACTTCTTTAAAGAAAAAAAAGTTATCGTAAGTGTTCACTTTATAATGCTTGTGGCTCAAATCTGTGAGATGAGCCTCTCCCAGAATCCCGCCAATCCCCTCCCCCATCTGCCCCTACTTGCCCTGGCCTCCCCATCCCAGCCACTGAATCCACCCCAGCTCTGTATTTTAAATGTGACTGCATATAATTCTGAAAAATGATCAAAGAATATAAAACTCGCGCTTCCAAATCTGGTACTGGCTCTGCTTAGACAACACAACATTAGCTGACTCAGAAAAAAAAACAGCAAGTTCCTTCTCCAGCCCCCTCCTTAAAGAAAAAAAGATCCTCAATTCTGATCAAATGTTTTCACCTGCACCACTGTAGCATGAGACGAACTCGCCAGGTGATCATTACTCAGTCTCCATCCTTAACGGATATTAAGGGCTCTGAAACAAATCTGTTAAATGGGTTGAGGAGGACTTCCTTTGACACAACAACAGAGGGAGTTTTAAAAAGAGACAGGACAAAAAAAGAGAGCTGACACAGCCTGAAGATCAAATCAGATCAGATTGTAAACGTCAGGGTCGGGGGACACAGATGTGCCTGACACTGACCATAGAACAACTACTCTTCGATCCGACAAAGACAAACTTTCTGGGAGTCACGTCAGGAAAAAAAATAAACGACTTTCTAGTGGCTATGAGTGGAGTCGAAGCAGAGCCCTGTTCCAGTAATGTTGTGTAACTCAGTGCATGCATGCAATTACCCTGAACAAGGTGTATTGAAAATATATTGGGTGTTTGTGGTATACGAGTATTTTGTTTATATTAGTTAGAAACCTTTCTTTGGAGTGGTATGGTTATATTATTTCTCCTTCCTTAAGACGGGCCAATCATTTGAATCCAATGTGATTATTATTATTCCAGATTCTATTTTTATGGTAGATTTGTTCACGTGTCAGATATTCTCTTTAGACAAACTGATTACCAAAGTCTGTTTCTGTTGACGGCATAACTGATAGTGTGACCATGTTTGCTCCAGTAAATTAGACCAATGGACACATATACAACCTTCACTCATGTAGAATTTCAGGATCATTTGCCAAAGTAATTAGAGGACTGACCTCTGCAATTAACAGTCTGACATTTTTAATTACAAGCTCTAGTTCGAAAAAAAATGTTTTCTTTTTTTTATGGCAGGCATTGTAATACTAATATAAATTTAACCACAGTAGCAAATGAGGTCTGGTTTAAATTTCAAATTTTGTCTTTTCAATTTTCAACTGAGATAATTTACTTGAAAGCCACACAGTGGAAGAGTGGTTAGTGCTCTTACCTTACAACAAGAACATCACTGGTTGGAAGCTGAGGGTCTTTCTGTATGGCGTAGGGTTTTTGTTTCCTCCCAGTTTAAAACGCGCAGGTTTAGGTTGATTTTTCACTTTAAATTCACCATTGGTGTGAATGGAGTGTGAATGGCTGGTTGTCTCCGTATGTCACAAGCTGGAGAACTGACTGGCAGGATTAGCTGGAGGATTAAGCGACAGGAGATTAATAAATGATTGCAAAAGACCTACAGCAGGTTCCAGTAAACTTCAACATGTGGAGACAAATGTATCAATTAATGTTGTAGTATACTTTAAAGCTAGCAGAAATAAGTCACAAACCTTTTGAGATTCTGTGGTTCGGTTGGTTGCGTGGTTTTGTGGAAAAATAATTTTCCTTGAACTGGAAATGAAGAGTAACTTGGTGATTCACTCAGGCTGCTTTGCTTCCACCAGTGCCTAAAAAACAGTACTTTTGGACAACAAGTCAAGTCAAATTAATAATCAGAACAATACTGCAAATAATTTGTCTAAAAGCAGTACATTTTAAATATTTAAAACATAAAACTAGGTCAACACATTTGGATTTTAAGTGAAAGATGCTGTTTTTTTGTGAACATTTTGGCAGTCAATGGTGAAAATCTTCAGGAAACTTAAATCTTTCTCTCTGAGAAAAAAAAACCCAACTGTGTCCAGGCTGATTGACTGGAGCAGCAGGAAACGTTTTGTATGGATGCTTTAAAAAAAATGCAACAATGTAGATTAACAGTACTGAACAGAAGGACACAACTGTATCAAACAATTGTTTCTCCTCATTCGGACCAGTTGTGGATAATGTACCTAGTCTTATGGTATCACTGTAATGTGTTCTTTTCAGTTTTGTGAGAGTGTATGTGTGTACATGTGCACTTGTAACTGCTGGGGGCAGGGTTGGTTGTGGATGAGGGTGGGATGGGGCTACGTGTAAATAAATCAAGTACAGTTAGTGTGGAGGTGTTTATTTTTGTGTCAGTGTAAGTTAAATATTCTAAAATAAAATAAGCAAATGTATTATTCTCTATTGTGTTTCATGGTACATTGATAAAAAGAGGAAAAAGTAGTTTTATCTTACATTTCAAATGCTTATATCTCTATGGCTTCTGGCGATACCCGTTCCATTTTATAGATTTGTCAGCACAAAATGCAATAAACCAATACCATTTTAATACAGCAACTGTGTGGAGTTTTTAATCACAATATAGTTTTGACAATGAAACCTGGTACAAACTAAAATAAATTGTGCAAAAACTATAAAACACAACATGTGTTGAGGACGGACAGACGATCGATCGCAGCCGGGCTGAACAACAAACATGCAACGTTCTCTGCCCTCGAGAAGACGCCTTCGTCCATTAACTAATCAACTGGAAACACAGATGAGTTAAATTGTTGAAGTTAAACCACCGGAGACCACGGCAGAGAGTTAAAGAATTAAAAATAAAAAAAAAATTTTCAAAAAAAAAAAAAAAAAATTTCCTATTCTACCTATACACAACTGTTACTTCGTGCCAGACAATCCAGGCGACATCTTGTTCTACCAGAAGACGTCACATTAGGACAAGTCACTGTGGTGTCAATAGTGACGAGGATACATGGGCATGGGCCCCTGCTGGCCCATGCGGGGGCCCATGCCGGGGCCCATGCCGGAGCCCATGCCGGGGCCCATGCTGGGGCCTGTTCTGGGCACAGGCTGCTGAGAGGCCGCAGAGCCCACCAGGTGGTTCAGGGCTGGGCCACTCTGAATGAGGGTATCCAGAGCTTTCTGCACACTGGGGTTGTCGAAGTTGATCCCTGAAGTAGCGCTGGGGGGTCTCTGACCACCTGGTGCCATTGGCATGCGTCCTGGCTGTGTGCCATAACCCTGGGGCGCGGCCTGAGGATGGGCACTCATGGCCGGGCGGGGCTGGCTTTGCTGAGCTGTGCTGAGAGAGCTGTAGGACTGGGGTTGGGGCTGGGGCTGGGGAGCGACAGTGACGCCCCCTGAAGATCCACTGCCGCTATTGAACAGACTGAGGATCTTGGCCTGCAGCTCCTGCTGGTGGCTGGTATTGGCTGGGATGGGGTTTGCAGTTGGGGCCAGGCCAAGGTGACTGGGCTGTGAGGCTGGGTGAAGAGCATGGGCCTGGGGTGGCAATACTGCAGCGGGGGGAGTGGCGTCAGCCGGAGGAGCAACATGATGGGCCACTGGAGTGAAGGAAACGATGCGAGATGCGAAACATTAGGCAAACAGACACAGAAGAGTTTCCAGATGACTTCTTCGACAAGGTTGACTCTGTGGCTTAGGCGGTTCTCATACTGGACCAAACCCTGGACCAGACCCTAGAACAGACTGTCTGCAGTTCTGTTCTCCACGGATTTCCAGAGCATTATAAAGAGAATCAGAAAACTGAACACTGACTTTCAAAGAAGTAATAAGGATAAAAATTGGAATTGGAAACCACCTCTGCTCTGGAGTGTTTTTTAAAGAGAAATGACAAATTATTTTTGAAAAGTAAAAGTGCTCTGCCAAAGTGCAGTATTTTGTGATCAGAGCCTATTCTGAAGTTCTTTCAAACCCTTGGATTTTTTTTTTTTAATTGAAGATATAAACAATGTGACAGGTTTGTAAAGAAAAGCAATGTCTAATAAAATCACAGTGGTACTAATACAGTTAAGAAATATTTCATCCTGTCCATACCACATTTATTAGGGTGTTATATTAGGTGTTTTACCTGTTAGAGGATCAGCGGGACCTCGTACCAGACGGGATCTTTTGTCTTTCAGGTAGGCAATCAGACTGTCCAGTTCCTCAGGGGTCAAAAATCTACACAATTAAATAAAGAAAAAAAACATCAGGATAGACATTACCACTGAAATAAATACCAAAACACCAACTCTCTGTGGCCTTAGTGACTACAGACAGAATAAGGAAGTGAAACAATGTGAAGAAGGTGGATACCTGTTCTCAGACAGCAGTGTGATGGGAATTAGCACAGAAATAGGATGAGTCTCTCTGTCAGGATCTCTCAATAACACATCGTCGGCCATCTTGGCTGCCTTTCTGGCGATCTCCTCTCGTTCCTTTTCACGGTTTTCCACTTTGTATGTGTCGTAGTTGTGAGCAACTAGCATCATGGCGTCCTGCATCGGCATGTTGCGATGTTCTACAGCAAAAACCGTAACATTGTTACGGGCTAAATAAAAAAAGGGAATGCTAAATTAAAGTATAAGGACCGATGACATTACCTTGCGGTGTCCCAAACAAAATATTAACGGTGCAGGACCGATGGACCTGGTGCTGCTGAGTAATGATGATAGCAAACGGAGTGCGGGCTCGACCTACATCCTCCAGGGCTTGGGTGAGTGACACTTCAGTGTTGAGGAAGATCAGGTCTACCACCATGCCCAAATCACGGACCTTTCGCCCGACTGTCTCAGCATACTCCCTACAGTTGTTTTCAAGCAAAGGTACAGCCACAGACACGGACACACAGAAGAACACTATGAAATGAAAACATATCGTTCAGTGGCTGAACTCATTGTGAATCGCATCTCCTCACACAGACCAGAGAGTGAACTTACTTTTGTGCCTTGTTGACAACAATGACAGAGCAGTCAACGGGGCGATCGGTGTCATAGCGACGCTGTAGTTCTTC